AAAAAAAAAAATTTGTTTCATTGTTACACATTTTATTTATGAAAATGAAGTATGGATATTTTTTTTAGTGGTTTGGCTGAGATATCTGATATTATTATACTGCACATACACATAGTGTGTTGGGAATTTACTGTAATTAGTAATTGTGTCACGCTACATCAGCGACCGCTATAAATTCCGCAATTATTTCAACCAACAAAATAATTGCTCTCTTCTCAACGTATTTTTTTTTTTTTTTGGAAGAAAAAAAAAATAAAACACCTGCAAATATAATAATATACGTCACCATACCAGTCGCGACACTAAAGAAGGTTTATTAAATTTAAAGTTACACAGGCGCAAAAATATCTTTCCGGAAGGTGCGATAATCATCCAAGTGTAGTGTTGGTTTTGTGGTTTTTTTATTTTGTTGTCTATTCACGTTAAACTTTATTTTTCTCGCGTTATCTTTAAAGGCATGACTCACGGCGAAGAATTTTGGGAGGCTGAACGTATTCTCGACGAAAAGGTGGAAAACGGCGTGTCCCATTTTTTGATTCAATGGCTGGGCGAAGACTCAAAGGGTGATCCGTGGAAACCAACCTGGGTGAGTATCTTCCCTTCTAATTTTTATTTATGGCGCCACTCGAGAAATACTAATCATTCTATTGGCAGGAACCCGAGGGGAACTGTACTAAAGCTCTGATAAAAGAGTGGAAAATAGTGAAAGGTGGCCGAAAAGTTAAACGACGATCCTCTGAGAGAAAAATTTCCATCTCTTCATGTGATACTTTATCTGATGGCGGAGATGTCGGAGATGTCGGAGATGATCACGACTCAAGCGAGACATCTACTATTGTGGATGACGGTGAGTACGAGTCGTTAAACGATGCGGCGGATGCTTCCAATGAAAATCTGGCCCCCGCCACCAATTCCACTCCTGGTTTCCTTTCGGCCGTTGCCAACTTTATAGGCATTTCGACTTCACAAAAGAGACCTAAGGCTGATTCTAATAGCGATGAACAAATTGACGAGATCAAGAAGGTTCGTACAAAAGAGTCACTCGACGATGAAAAGAGTAATGAAATTTGCGAAAAAACCGATGTCAGTGTTGCTCAGCAACTCCGGCAGGTCCAAACGCCAACAAATCCAGTTCAACAAAATTCTCTTCTGGATAATAAGGATAACACAGTCCTGACCACATCTAACGTGAGTATGAGCACAAGAAACACATGTAATAGCGGTTACTTTCATGCGCATTCGGTAAGCTTCATACATGATGTGATATCTCGTTCGTTTCTTAATATCTCAATGTTTCTCTTTCCATTTTCTTCCTCTTCCAGAATGCATCAGGCTTGATTAATGAGATTAAAAGTAAAAACAACATGGTTGCTTTTTTACTGAAGGAAAAGGAATATTTGCAAAAGAAATTGAAGCAATATGAAAAAAATCGAAGATTTCACCAGTCAAGGAATCAAATGTTAACGCAAGAAAACATTAAGGCACGTAAATTACTACAAGACAAGCAAATAGAACTCACAAAGATCTACTCGGAATTGGAACGAGTTCTTGGAGAATTTGAAGGGTCTCGGAAATTGTGCAATAAGAAGGATACGAAACTGAAAGCCATGGAGATAGAGTTAGAGGAACACAAAAAGCAATTCGATGCAAAACATAAGAAGGATCAAAAGCAAATCGCTCTTCTCAAAAAGACCAATAACAATCTGACCATAGAAAACAAGAAATTACTTGAAAAGACCGAAACCTCGAAAACCTTTGATTTTTCGATCTCCTCCGACCTCAATAATTTGGGACAAATTACTCGATCTTCCGGTAATATCCAAGCTCTCCGTGCAGAAAATGAAAGGTTGACATCAAAAATCAACAATTTGAATCTCCAATGTTCTCTTCAGCGACAAAATATGATCGTGTTGGAAGAAAAGGTGATGGAACAAGAATCCCTTATTCGACTGTTAATGGACATTCAGAAAATCTCTCAACATGGAGACCAAAGGGTCGAAGACCTGAAAAGAAAAGTCAGTATGTCCATTAACCCGCCTTTATCCAATACACTGCCTGTAAATATGATGCCACCTATAGGCGCACCATTTATAAATGCAACGCCTGTAAATGCACCACCCGTATACGCGCATCCTCCGAATTCGATGAAACCTTTTCCAACGCTAGAATTTATCCCGTGGAATGGTATGTCGCAAAAGAATTAAGAAATAATTTTCCATTCATATCAAAGAGATCATTCAAAACGCCATGGCATTATATATACGTGTAACAGATATATATATTTGTATATTTTGTTTTTGTTTTGAAACATTTAACGGGAAATCTGCGGACCGTTTTGCATTAATATTCGAAAATCATTCATAAAAAGAAAAAGAAAAAAAAAAACGAAAACCACATTCCGTCTTTATTAGATAAAGCACATTTCATTCTCACAGCTCACATTTTTGTGAAATTTTTGGTAAAATTAGATTTCATTTATCAGAAGCAAAATTAGGACAAAACCTTTTCTATTAGACTAATTGAACTCGCTAATATAATTCTGCTCAATAACCCATAATAACATAGCCTAGTTAAGAATTATATGACTCAAAAAAATAAAAAGGGTACTTGAAAACCTGGACAATTATGAAATTAGAAAAC